CTCCATCCCCTCATCTTGAGAAGTCTCCCTGTCTCCACCCCCCCTCGTGCCAGGGCTGAACTTGAGTCCTTCCTGGCCATGTCCCCGCTCATACACCCCCCACGCTTGGAGCCTTGGGTCTTACTGGCAGAACCCCTCCCCTTTAATCGTTTTCTCCTTAAGCCGGATGGGCAACCCTTTGGTGGTCTCAAAGAAGAACTGCCTCTCCTCACCCTCCAACTCCGCCTCGGACATCTCCTCACCCCCACAGAGTCTGGTCTTCGTCGCCTCTCCAGAGTTGAAATTTTCCGTCGATTCCCTACTGCCCGTTTCCCCTGCAGCAGACGTATCCTCACAGCCATTACCGAAGCGGTTCCTCTGGACTGGTGGGAGGTCCTCCTCCCTTTTCAACGCCCTCTGGGATCCTTGTCTGCAGGAGATTGGACTGTCCCTGTCTCCCCTCCTCCCCTCTCTCCTCCTCAACTACTGCAGGTTCGCGTTACACTCCCAGGCGGTCTGGTGGTAGCAGATAGGTACGACATCAGCTGTAGACGTGTAGGTAGGGAGGCCGTCAGCTGCTGCGTCGTCCCCGAACGTGCCCTTCTCACCATCCTCGTCCGTGACAGATGGATCCATGGACCCTTTTGCTCCGGTGCTGGGTTAGCCGATCGCATAGACCTGCTCCGCCCAAGACCACCATCCTTAGCAGTCCTTCGCAAACAGTTCTACCGCCCTCAGCCGCTCTCCCTACAGGAAGCCTGGTCGACTGCGTTACAACTCCCTGTCCCTGCACTGCCCTCGCTCACACACCCCTTCCTCCGCGAGCAGCCCAGTCGATCCCGCGACCTCCTCCTCCGCCTTTTTGCGCGTGCCCTTCCCACAGGTGCCCGTTTCCGTTTCATGGAAGATGGTGGCAGCTGTCGACGCTGTCCACCAAGACCCCTTGAGACCCTCCTACACGTCTTCAATGAGTGTGGCCCAGCGGCGACAGTCTCAGCGGCTCTCTGTCGGGTGGCACGTTCGCACCTGGGAGTGGCTGTCCCGGCTCCGCTTGTGTTCTTCCCTCTCTCCCACCCTGCTGGACAGATTGCACCTTGGTGCTTGTTGGTGGGCGCTGCTGCCAAGACCCTCTGGGATGAGCGCTGTGCAACTGTACATCAGCGCGAGTCTTCCTCAACCATCTCCATCCTGCACCGTGTCTTAGGAGCTTTCCTTTCCGCTTGCAAGCTTTTCTTCTGGCAGCGGAAAAAGCGTTCGATCAAATTCCAAAGGGCAACGGCATCCAGGGTTCGCTACGCCCAGTCTCTCCGCCTTCTGTGCTTTGAATCTTCTGAGTACCCTTCACTACACCCAGCACTACAACGGACCTGGCTCCTGAACGACCCCTTCCGCCCCCCCTGAATGCAGCATCCTCATCTAGCCCTGGTACCGGCCATCAGGTGGTCCCTGGTGCCAGCGGGAGTCCCGCTGGGCAGCTAGCACGATACAGTGCAGATTGTTTTTACGACCTTGATATGTTATCATTGCTGCTGCTTGTATCAAATGTATTGGTTACGACCATCAATAAAACTTAAAACTTAAAACCGAATCTGCAACACATCCGTCTGTTAAAGTAAACATCGTTACAGCGTTCTGAACACATTTCAAAATTTACAGTTTACGTGCGCTTATAATAAAACAAGTTTTTTTCAGGGGGTGCGCTTATGATCGAGAAGCGGATATAAGCGTCACACGCCAATTAAAAGCGCCAGGCGCTAATCCGAGGGTGGCGCTTATATCCGGGGTATGACGGTAAGTGTACTGTACAGTAGGCTCTTTTCACCTTTCGTAGATTCCCATCCCCGTTACCTAGGGCTCCTACCATTACCACCGCCTTCTTCCTTTCTCATATGGCTCGCATAGGCTCCCAGCTTCAGCCCCTGAAGGCTCGCAAGCGTACAGCAGCTTCAGCTCCCACTGTTGCCCTCTCAGGCTTATTCAGCTAACCTTGAGTATTGCTTCGCATATTTTGCCTTGACTCCTGCCACTGTTTATAAACAGACTTGAAAGGGAGGAGTGCTACTGTAAGGGACGCTCATATATCAGCCATCCTTCTCGCACACATGCTTGCTTCCTGCCTTCAGCTTGTACCCTTTATAGCAGCGACACTCAAACTGTGTAGAGCTGCTGGCACTGCTCGCTGGCACACAAGTTCCGTAACCTGAGCAGGGTGGGCTGCTGCTGCTGGTTCCACAAATTTTTTCACAAGCCGCCCCGCTCCGCTGCTGTTTCTCCGGGCAGCTAGACGTTTTCGACAGGCAGTTCTGCACAGCTCGCAGAATTTCATCGTCCCCGAACCCCTGCCTGAGACCGGACTCCTCCGGGCAGAGTTTCTGCCCGGAAATAGTGAGCATGGGGTTACCCCATAAGTAGTTATACTGCAGATCGAACATCATGTCCCCATCACCCCTCCCCAGCTGAGGCAGCTTCCCAGAGAAGTAATTTTCGGAGATGTTGAAATCCGTCAGGGGAATGTTGGAGAGCGCAGCTGCAGGAATTGAACCCACGAACGAGTTGCTGGCAATGTCCAGATGCACCAGAGTCCCCGCAACTCCCGCTTTCACGGCAGTCCACGGAAATTCTCCCGTCATCTGGTTATACGCGAGAGAAAGATCGGTCAGGGGCGGTTTATATGCGAAAAACTTCCACGAAACAGAGCCGTTGAGCCGGTTCTTCATGAGGTAAAGCTTGTTGAGATTTTTTATCCTGCCCAGAACGGGGGGCAGGTTTCCTGAAAACTTATTGAAGCTCAGATCGAGGGAACGAAGGCTCGGGTGCTGCCACAACTGAGCCAGCGACAGAGTCGAGTCTTTAATCCCCGATTGCTGCATATTCAGTCCCTCGAGCCGCGACAGCCTGTTGATTAACTTGTAAGGGAAGACGCCGCCAATGGGATTGTATGAAAGGTCGAGGACCTTAAGAGTCGGAGCGAGAGCGGTCAGCTTGCCAGGTAGAGGACCTATTAATCGGTTCTCCTGCAGGTTTAACTCCTCGAGGAGCCGCAATCCCGACAGCTGGCGCGGCACGGCTCCCGTTAAGCGATTATGCGCGAGGAGAAGCGTCTTTAAGTTCAGAAGGGATCCGAGCGCGGCGGGAATCGGGCCAGTGAGCTGGTTTAGGGCAAGCGAGAGGTAATTAAGACGCTTAAGGCTGCTAAGCGCGGGTGGGATGCCTCCGGAAAACCTATGACCAAAGAGATCAAGCGACACGAGGTTCGTGAGGGAAGGGAGGGAGCGTGGAATGCGGCCGCTGCATCCCCCCGTGCTGCTGCTGATCCTGATGTTCGTGAGGGTCAGAAGCGCGCCGATTGACTCCGGAAGGGAGCCCGTGAGGTTCATCCCGGAGATTTCGAGGTGTTGGAGGGAGTTGAGAATGGTGATGGTCCGCGGAATGGGCCCCGTTTCCCAGAGGTTGAGCTCGATCCTCACGACCGCGCCTTGCGGGGTGCATTTGACGCCTTCCCATTTGCTGCAATCCGTCCCCGCGCGCCACGTCTCGTTATAGATGTACTCGTTAAGGTACGGCATCAAGGAGAGCAGGAACTTCTCCTGAGCGGGCTTGATTCGCGCGGCGTGGCTCGGGATGCACAGAATGCTTGCAACGAGAACGAAGAGAGCTACTATCGGGGATGCGAGCGAGGCTGAACCATTCCTAGTACATCTACCGAGGAGGGGTGCCATCGGCGCTTCTCGAAGTGGACGTCACCAACAATTGGCTATTACGAGGCAACAGTCGAAACCAGTCAAACTCGAAACAGGAATGTTAAGTCGTAGTTCGGAGTTGTGCGGCTCCGTAGTCTCTAAAGGGATTAATCAGGTGCTGCTGTTACGATGATATCGTGGAGAGGTTTTACCGGATATCTAGTAGGCATATGAGGAGGGTGCTAACTCGATTCGCGAAAGGTAGGCTTGAGGAAGCCACAGTTGCTTTTATGCCATCATCAATCGCTGTCGTTGGCGGCATTTCCATTCGCCAGGACCCATGTGCCTGCTAAGCGGCGAGGAGCCGCGCGATCGAGTCGCTCCAGCAAGGTACGGAAGGTGTGATGTTTGTTGGCATCGAGGGAAACATCACAGCAGCGAGGAAAGACACACCAAAACAACAGCGTCGATTTCGATTTGCAAGTGAGATGCACGGATGAGCTATCACTGGTTGGGGGAATTGCCAAGTTGTTTTTCTCTGTAAAACTTCTTTTGAGAGACTGTTCGCAGTCTCTAGCCCATTGTTCAGGGACATCGAGTCCCAGTGGGAACCGAAAGCAGTGTAGACTCCTATCATCTCCTGATCCATTGAAGAGCCCCAGAACAACTAAGTTTCTGAGACTCATAACCGGCAAAATCAGTCTCGAACTTGCAGGGTTATGGAACAGCAGTGTGGATGAAATATTATGAAAAATACAATGCTTAGCTCAGGGCAGCATGGAGAACCTTAAAATATAGGCTATGAAACAGAAATAATAGTCCCGCCAATTCCGTGTGGGTGGAATGCGGCTTGCGTGGTGCACGACATTGAGATTCTCCGAATCGCGCAGGTCCACAATGTCCACTATGTGCAGGGCGAAGAAGCACATTCGCGTTTCCAGACGACTGCGACGACAGCTGCGAAACGGCTGATTGGACGGTGGAGTCCTGGCAGTAACTGTACGACCGGCTGTGGTGTCTCGCTCCCAGTGAGATGGCTGACACCTGACGTCATGTTTGCACATACGGCAGCTCGGTGGCAGCTTCGTGATTCTTGACTCGTGTCGAAACCCCTTTCTTGTATCTCGCTAGTATGTAATTACATATTGTACATTATGTGGATTTTTAATGGACTTCTTTTCTTTCCGGGCGTTTGAGTAAACCTAGTAGAAGGGTTTGGTGTACGTGCCAAATGTGATGAAGGTAATGTGTACTTGTCAGCATATTTACCGTGACAGCAAGTACCAAGCAGATAAACAAATTAACAAATGAAAATCCATCACTAGTGATAGAAAAGCTCCTCTATTGGCTCCTGCTACAAGAATCCTTGATGCCCAAAGGTGGAATAGGAGAGACACAAGTGGGTAGGGAGAGGGGAGACACAGGATCGGGTCGTCTTGCAGAGGTATGGAGAGGCGGCGTGCGAAAGGGGTTAGAAAGGCTATCGCGTGGCGCAGAGGCAGAGGGAGGAGACATCCAATGAGGGATTGAGGTAGTACAAAGACTAGCGCGTGAGGCAGAGGGTCTGGGAGGGGGAGGCGTGTCAGGAGGAGGGCGGGGGAGGGTGAAGAACGCAGCAGCTGCAGCAGCAGCAGCAAAGGCAGCAGCTGCCATGAAGCCAGGAATGTTGCCCCCACCGAAGAATGCATCAAAGGGGCCGATGACTAGCGATACAAACATCTGCGCGGGTAGGGGTATGGCACAGATGGGGTGTCAGTAAGGGCCAGGTTGGGAGGAGGGGCAGTTGCAGCGAAGGCAGCTGCTGCCATGCAGCCAGGAATGTTGCCCCCACCGAAGAATGCATCAAAGGGGCTGATGACTAGTGACACTAACATATGAGAGAGTGGCACAGAGGGGCCCAGAGGGGCAAACAAGGGGCAGGGTAACATGTTGGGATGGGAAGTCACCTATGCACAACAAGGTGACCTGGGCATCCACCTGAAACGTTATGAGACCACCTGGGCATCCACCTGAGACGTTATGAGACCACCTGGGCATCCATCCAAGGAAAAATGAGGGATTCACCATGGTAGAATGAAAAAATCGACTGAGCACAATATAATTAACCCAGGGATTCACCTGAGGAATAACAAGACCACCTGAAGATTCACCTGAGGCAGCACTATCGCAATGTTGAGTAGACCAGCTGCCAGGCCCTGCCCGCCGCCTCCTCTGGTGGTGAAGGACGCTGTGAGAGAGAAGGGGAGGCTGTAGGTCACCTGGGGTGATGGATGGGGCGTGGGGCATGGTGGATTGTGTGTTTGGAATCGGACGTCAAGGCAAGGCAGGGCCTGCCCTCCGCCTCCTCTGGTGGTGAAGGACGCTGTGAGAGAGAAGGGGAGGCTGTAGGTCACCTGGAGGGATGGATGGGGCGTGGGGCATGGGGCATGGTGGGTGGTAGTGGGTGGTGGGCGGGAGTTCAGACGTGAAGGCAACAGTCATTGCGAGCCACATAGCAAGCAGGCCCTCCCCTCCGCCTCCTCTGGTGGTGAAGAACGCCGCGAGGGAGAATGGGAGGCTGTAGGTCACCTGGTGAGATGGGAGATAGGAGATGGTGGGATGGGAGATAGGAGATGGTGGGATGGGAGATAGGAGATGGTGGGATGGGAGAGAGGAGATGGTGGGATGGGAGAGAGGAGATGGTGGGATGGGAGACGGCGAACGGAACGGGTGGGTGGCAAAGCATGAGGTTCAATGGTGTGCGCATCAGGCAGAGAAAGACCGGCTGCCACGCCCTGCCCTCCCCCGCCCCAAGAGGGTGGTCACAAGGAGTCACAAGGCAGGCCTGGGGGTGGTGGGTGGGGCATGGGGCATGGTGGACGGTGGATGGTGGATGGTGGACGGTGGACGGTGGACGGTGGACGGTGGACGGTGGTGGACGGTGGTGGACGGTGGGACGGTGGTGGACGGTGGACGGTGGTGGACGGTGGTGGTGGACGGTGGTGGTGGACGGTGGACGGTGGACGGTGGTGGTGGACGGTGGTGGACGGTGGACGGTGGTGGACGTTGGTGGTGGACGGTGGTGGACGGTGGACGGTGGTGGACGGTGGTGGTGGACGGTGGACGGTGGTGGACGGTGGTGGTGGACGGTGGTGGACGGTGGTGGACGGTGGTGGACGGTGGTGGACGGTGGTGGACGGTGGTGGGCGGTGGTGGATGGGGGATCAGGCGTCAAGGCAGCCGTTATTTCGAGTCACATAAGAGGCCCTGCTCTCCAACCTTGCTGCGAGGGAGAACATACGTCCGCAGGACGTAAGGCCTCCGCAGCCCACCTGTCTGCGTTCGACAAAACCTTGCTGTGAGGGAGAACAGAAAAGATGGTGAGTAGAGAGTGCCGCTGCCTTTCGTGGCTTTGATCAACTCAGGTGCACATCAGCAGCAGTGAATGCGCCTGTTCCAAGCACAGTAATAACTCTCATACCATGCGTGCCCCAACTCACCGCCATGGGAGCGCCGAGAACAGCAAGGATGGTGAGTGCAGCTGCCTTGATTTTCGAGACGTGTCAAAAACAGATTCCCAGAACAAGGCATGACACAACACTACCACTCACCGCCATGGGAGCGCCAAGGACAGCAAAGATGGTGAGTGCAGCTGCCTTAGCCACCCTTGATTGCGACACGCCTGACACGCTTGAAAATGGCAGCAGCAAGGATTGCTGGCGTGATACCGCAGGATGCGACTCAAGCAACGGCTCTTGCATCCCGAGTTTCCGCGCGCCCATCAGCTTCCGAAGCCCAGCAGTCGCCAGTCCGTTTTGAGACAGGGAGCAGCAGAGGCTACCGGTGGCATGTGCCTGGTTGAGTTGAGGCACAACAGGAGCAGCAGAAGGAACAGCAGGGGTGACCAGCACGTTTTGAGGCAGCCAGGATTGAGCTTCAACCCCTTGTGCAGGAGCACCAGCGGCCACAGCAGCAGCGGCTAGCCGGATTTGAGGCACAACAGGAGCAGCAGAGGGCACGGCAGCAGTGGCGAGCAGGCAAACAGCAAGCACCAGATTCCCCACGGCCCACACGGTCCTCGACCCGAACCTCCGGCACAGAGCGTCGATCCTGAGGCTCGTCACTCCCTGCACCACCGAATTCAGCACCAGACCTAGCGCTCCGAACCTCACTCCCCTGCTGTACGCCTTAAGAGCCGCCTCGCTACTAGCACTAGCGACTCCGCTGGCTACAAAACTAGCTGCGTTACCAGATCCTAGCGAAGCAGCAGATGCACCTCTTGCTGTACCAGCAGCAGCAGCAGCAGCAGCAGCTTTAGCTGTTGCAGTTGCTGCTGCAGACGCTGCTGCCCTAGCCGCTGCTAGTCCAGATTCCCTAGGGTTACTCGATCCCCCAAAGACCTCTCGGCCCATCCAATCAGTGTCGAAGAGCAGGAACGGGAACCACGCAAGCCAGGTTAGGGCCGTGACTGCCAGCACGCACAGCACGGGGGGAGGCAGCTGCTGCACTGAACTGACCAGCTCCCATAACAGCACCTGCTTCGGTTCCTCCTCTCCCTCTTCCTCCTCCTCCTCCTCCTCCCCATCCCCCTCCCCCTCCCCGTCCTCTTTTTCGTCTTCCTTCTGCTGCTCCGCTTGCCTCGTCCCGCCTTTCTCTGCCTCAACTGTAGTTGACCCATTCGCTCCTCTCTTGTGCCCCGTCTCGCCTGCTCCCATCTCCTCTATCTCACTCGCACTGAACCCACTTACGCTGTTTCCACCACACTCTCTCCCACACTCCCTCCCACTCTCTCTCCCACACTTCCTTTCCCCTCCCTCCGACCCCTCCACCTGAACCAAATCACTCATCGCCTCACTGCTTTCCCTTGTCCTCCGCCCTCCCATGTCCGCATCAGCAGGATCTGCTTGTAACGAGTCAGCAGCAAAGAGGCCTTCTAACGAGTCATCCACAGGCCACACCCCACCAGAGCTGAATACCCCACTTGTGCCGCTGCCACTGATGCTGCTCCTACTGCTGCTGCTGCTGCTGCTGCTGCTGCTGCTGCTGTTGCTGCTGCTGGGGATGGGGACTTGACCAGTAACCAGAGCATGAATAGCAGCAGGAGCAGCAGCAGGAGAAGAAGAAGGCCCAGCAGGGGGCGCGTAATGGGTGCTACAAGGCAAAAGCGGCTGCCTCATCAGGCTATCATCCCTAAAAGCCTCCCTGATAGTAGCAATAGCAGCAGCGTCGGCCCCGGAAGCATCAGCAGCAGAGCTATCAGCACCAACAGCACCAGCAGAAGCACCAGCAGCACCAGCAGCAGCAGCAGCACCAGCAGCACCAGCACCAGCAGCAGCACCAGCAGCAACACCACTATCGGCAGCAACAGAATCAGAAAGTGGCACCTCAGAAGCAGCCGACACACTAACAATGGTCGACACCAGGAGCAGCACCACATGCAGCATGAACGCAGCCTTGAGATTCGCACACACGCCGTTACACGCCGCGGTTACCAGCGAGAACCCCCCGAACGGGCGGAGGAGGAGCGAGAGAGGAGCGGAGAGGGCGGAGGCGAGGTGCGGGTAGGAGCCAGCTGCAAAGCCCAGCACGTTGCCGAGAGCCATGAAAGCAGAAAAGTAAGCGTTGGCCCTGCGAGTGCGCTTGCCTTCCGTGCCTGTACAGGGGATGTTTGTAAGGAGGACAAAGCGGAAGAGGGAAGGTGGGTGGGGGTAGGAGCCAGCTGCAAAGCCGAGCACGTTGCCGAGAGCCATGAAAGCAGAAAAGTATGCATTCGCTCTGCGAGTGCGCTTGCCTTCTGTGCCTGCAAAGGGGGTTATTTTTCAAGGAAGATGCATGGAAAGACGGGAAGAAAGGAGATGGGGGTAGGAGCCAGCTGCACAGCCAAGCACGTTGCTGAGAGCCCTGAACGCGGAGAAGTAAGCATTCGCTTGCGAGTGCGCTTGCCTTATGTGCCTGTAACGGGGATGTTTGTAAAGAGGACAAAAGGAAAGAGGGAAGATGGGTGGGGGTAGGAGCCAGCTGCAAAGCCTAGCACGTTTTTCAAAGCCTTGAACGTTGAGAAGTATGAAAGCAGAGGGATTCAGAGCAAGGTGAGGTGGGGCCGGAGGAGGGAGAGGGGAGAGGAGAGGGCGGAGGCGAGGTGCGGGTAGGAGCCAGCTGCAAAGCCAAGCACGTTACCGAGAGCCATGAACGCGGAAAAGTATGCATTGGCTCAACGAGTGCGCTTGCCTTCTGTGCCTGTAAAGGGGATGTTTGTAAAGAGGACAGAAGCATAGAACAGAGACGAGGTGGGAATAGGTAGGAACCAGCTGTGAAGGCAAGGACGCTGCCAAGAGCCATGAACGCAGCGAAGTATGCATTCGCCCTGCGAGTGTGCTTGCCTTCCATGCCTGTAAAGGACTTTTCTGTAACGAGGACAAAGGGGTAGAGAGAAGGTGGGGGTAGGAGCCAGCTGCAAAGCACAGCACATTGCTCGGAGGCATGAAAGTGGAAAAATAGGTATTGACCCGTCAATTTTAGCTTGCTTCGGCAACACTCACCAGTAAAATCAGCGAGGTTTTTCTGAGAATTCTCAAAGAAACACTCACCAGTAAAATCGGCCAGCAGAGCTCGACACGGTCCCTGTAGGCTGTTGTTGGCCAGGTCAAGCAGCCTGAGAGAAGTGGGTGGAGAGGAGTGAGGAGAAATTGAGGGAAAATGACAGAAGCAGGTGGACAAAGCAACAGTATGCTCAAGAGAAGCAGAGAAGAGAAGCAGTGTGATCCGCCAGAACAACTCGACTCAGTCCCTGCAGGCTGTTGGGCGGATCGAGAAGCCTGAGAGAAGAACAGAGTGAAAATGGGTGGAGAGGAGTGAGGGGAAATGAGAGGGAACTTGAGAGCAGCAGGTGGAAAACGAAAGCAGTATGCTACACCAGAAGAGGGAACTAGAAGAGCTCGGCATGGTCCCTGCAAGCTGTTGGGTGGCCAAGTCAGGCAGCATGAGAGAAAAAAGGGGTGATGATGGGCGATGATGGGCGATGATGGGTGATGATGGGCGATGATGGGTGATGATGGGTGATGATGGGTGATGATGAGAGGAGTGAGGGAAAGAAGGGATTCTAGAGGTAGCAGGTAGACAGAGAGGCAGGCTGTTGTTGGCCAAGCAAAGAACCTGAACCCATATCCTTGCTCTATCCGGTTTTTGAGTCGACTCAAAAGAAGGACCTGAACCCATATCCTTGCTCTATCCGGCTTTTGAGTCGACTCAAAAGCAGGACCTGAACCCATATCCTTGCTCTATCCGGCTTTTGAGTCGACTCAAAAGCAGGACCTGAACCCATATCCTTGCTCTATCCGGCTTTTGAGTCGACTCAAAAGCAGGACCTGAACCCATATCCTTGCTCTATCCGGCTTTTGAGTTGACTCAAAAGCAGGACCTGAACCCATATCCTTGCTCTATCCGGCTTTTGAGTCGACTCAAAAGCAGGACCTGAACCCATATCCTTGCTCTATCCGGCTTTTGAGTCGACTCAAAAGCAGGACCTGAACCCATATCCTTGCTCTATCCGGCTTTTGAGTCGACTCAAAAGCAGGACCTGAACCCATATCCTTGCTCTATCCGGTTTTTGAGTCGACTCAAAAGCAGGACCTGAACCCATATCCTTGCTCTATCCGGTTTTTGAGTCGACTCAAAAGCAGGACCTGAACCCATATCCTTGCTCTATCCGGCTCAGATCAATCAAACGCCTCTCCCACTCACCAGAACCCCAGGATGAAAACAACAATCGCTCCCACCAGCGACCGCCCTGCTTCCACCCTTGCGTCCCCCAACGCATGCCCCAAGTCCCTCAAGAACACTATCAGCATCGCCGCCGCCGCCACCAGAGCAGCGCAGCCCACAACACACCCCACTCACCAGAACCCCAGAATGAACACGACAATTGCCCCCACCAGCGGCCGCCCTGCTTCAATCCTCGCATCTCCCAGTGCATGCCCCAAGTCCTTCGAGAACGCTATCAGCATCGCTGCCACCACCACCAGAGCAGCACCGCCCACCACACACCCCACTCACCAAAAACCAAGGATGAAAACGACAATAGCTCCTACCAGCGGCCGCCCTGGTTCCACCCTCGCATCCCACAATGCATAGCTCAGGTCCCTCGAGAACGCTATCAGCATCGCCGCCACCGCCACCACAGCAGAGCACATCTCATTGGTCTCTTGCAGTTAGTGACTCAAAAACGCCTCTCCCACTCACCAAAAACCAAGTATGAACACGACGATTGCTCCCACCAGCGGCCGCCCTGCTTCCACCCTCGCGTCCCCCAGTGCATAACCCAAGTCCCAACTCAGGATCGCCGCCACCACCACCAGAGCGGAGCAACGCACATCCCATCCCATCAGCAGCAGAGCAGAGCAGCGCACATCATCCCATCCCATCAGCAGCAGAGCAGAGCAGCGCACATCCCATCCCATCAGCAGCAGAGCAGAGCAGCGCACATCCCATCCCATCAGCACCAGAGCAGAGCAACGCACAACCCATCCCATCAGCAGCAGAGCAGAGCAGCGCACATCCCATCCCATCAGCACCAGAGCAGAGCAACGCACAACCCATCCCATCAGCAGCAGAGCAGAGCAGCGCACATCCCATCCCATCAGCAGCAGAGCAGAGCAGCGCACATTTTATCCCATCAGCAGCAGAGCAGAGCAGCGCACATCCCATCCCATCAGCAGCAGAGCAGAGCAGCGCACATTTTATCAGCACCAGAACTTCTATGCATTCTCCCACTCACCAGAACCCGAGAATGAACACGACGATTGCCCCCACCAGCGGCCACCCTTCTTCCACCCTCACATCCCCCAACGCGTGCCCCAAGTCCCTCGAGAACGCAATCAGCATCGCCGCCACCGCCACCACAGCAGAGCACATCTCATTGGTCTCTTGCAGTTAGTGACTCAAAAATGCCTCTCCCACTCACCAGAACCTGAGGATGAACACAACAATTGCCCCCACCAATGGCCGCCCTGCTTCAATCCTCGCATCCCCCAACGCATGCCCCAAGTCCCTCGAGAACGCAATCAGCATCGCCGCCACCGCCACCACAGCAGAGCACATCTCATTGGTCTCTTGCAGTTAGTGACTCAAAAATGCCTCTCCCACTCACCAGAACCTGAGGATGAACACAACAATTGCCCCCACCAATGGCCGCCCTGCTTCAATCCTCGCATCCCCCAACGCATGCCCCAAGTCCCTCGAGAACGCTATCAGCATCGCCGCCACCGCCACCAGAGCAGAGCTGTGCACAGTGGTTTCTTGCACTTATTGACTCAAAAAGACTTCTCCCACTCACCAGAACCCCAGAATGAAAACGACAATCGCTCCCACCAGCGGCCGCCCCTCCTCATCCCCCAGTGCATGCCCCAAGTCCCTCGAGAACGCAATCAGCATTGCCGCCACCGCCACCAGAGCAGCGCAGCACACAAGACAAGCGACTCACCAAAAACCAAGTATGAAAACGACAATCGCTCCCACCAGCGGTTGCCCTGCTTCAATCCTCGCATCCCCCAGTGCGTGCCCCAAGTCCCTTGAGAACGCTATCAGCATCGCTGCCACCGCCACCAGTGCTGCCCCCGCCACAATGAACGGGCGGCGCCGCCCATACGGGCAGCGACAGCTGTCGCTCCAATGGCCAATCAGAGGCTGGAGAAAAAGGGGGGAGATGGTTGGAGGGAACGTGGGGGAACGGAAGCGGGGGGCGGACGAGAGGAGGAAGAGGGCGGGGTAAGTTGGGGGATGGGCGAGGAATGGGGGGGAGGGGTGAGGAGAGGAAGGGACAAAAGGGCAGAAAAACCGATAGGTCGGCAAATGGGGGAGCTTTTCTTTGATATACTAAATTGATTTACATTTAGCGGCTGTTCCAAAGCTAAAGATTGCTAACAAACGGCTCGAGCTCAGGGCGCAGGTAACAACCACCTCATTCCCTCCCTTTTTTCCCCACCTCTCCCCTCTCCCCACCCCCAAGTTAACACCTGCACTAGTCAATACTCGCAGCAGTGATACCCGCACCAGTGAATGCCTACACCAGTAAATACCTGTACAAACAGGCTGGACAAAGGCCCACAGAGCCAGATGTAGGGGGCCCAGGCATGGGGAATACCGAGCTGCTGCACATAGGGCGCAGACTCACACCCTCTGCCCTCCCCCTTCTAAAGTTACTCCCTGCACCAGTAAACAGAACCTCTTTTCCCAACCCCCCTCCCCCAACATCTTTCCCAACCCCCCTCCTCCTACTCTCCCATCTTACCAATGGCGATGCACTCACCATCTTATCTCACCAGCAAATACGTGCACAAACAGGCCGAACAAGGGCCCACAGAGCCAGAAGAAGAAGGCCCAGGGCAGAGAGGAATACCACAGGGTGTTTTTGAGAAATCTCAAAAACACCCTGCAGAATTCTCAAAAACACCCTTCACCAGCAAATACCTGCACAAACAGGCCGAACAAGGGCCCACACAGCCAGATGTAGGAGGCCCAGGGCAGAGAAGAGAGGAATACCGCCCTGCTGCATATAGGGCATAAACACCTCCTCTTTTTACCCACCTTCCTCCTTTCCCCCTCTTCCCCATCACTCTCAACAAATGCCCCCCCCCCCCCCCCCCCCCCCCTTAATACCTGCACAAACAGTCCCGATACAGGCCCACAGAGCCAGATGTAGGAGGCCCAGGCATGGGGAATACCGAGCTGCTGCACATAGGGCGTGAGCAGAGAGAGCTGTAGAGCCCATCCGAACTGTAACCCCGCTGCAACCGATGCCACCTGGCGGTTTGTGATTGGAGGAGGATGGAAAGAAAAGTTGTAGGCCCAGGCACAGGGAATACCGAGCTGCTGCACATAAGGCGTGAGCAGAGACAGCTGTAAAGCCCAGCCGAACTGCAACCCCGCTGCAACCGATGCCACCTGGCGTTTCGTGATTGGAGGAGGATGGAGAACAGGGTGGTGAAAAACATCAGGCTGTAGGAGGCCCAGGCATGGGGAATACCGAGCTGCTGCGCATAGGGCGTGAGCAGAGACAGCTGTAAAGCCCAGGCGAACTGCAACCCCGCTGCAACTGATGCCACCTGGCAGTTTGTGATTGGAGGAAGACGGGTGATAAGGAGTCGGAAACAAAATTGGTTGTAGGATGCTTAGAAGGCAGGGGGAATACCAAGCTGGCACAAACCAGGGAAACGTGAGCAGAAGAACTGTACTTTCACTGGAAAAGACAACTGCAGTTAGCACGTCCAGCAGAAGAAAGAAGAGGAGCAGCAACACATTGGACTAATATAACAAAGGGATGTTGGTCAAAGGGGCGATATACACAAGGTGGTTTCGTCTGTAAAGAAGCTCCAAGAGTGAGCACCCTGGGTGATGAGTGGGTAGGGACACCTATGGACGGAAGCTTTTAGAGAGAGCACCCAGGTGAGGCACATCAGAATCGTATTTCAATAAGATAAAATAATTCGTTTATATTCAAATACTATTGTTCTAAGCAGCACCTTGGCTAGACCAATCAGGGGAACTCGCTTCTTTGTCCCAGCCTTCAACGGACGGTTCGGATTTCCTGCTTTCCCACCTCCTGAACATCCCCTGACGTCACCATCACCACCTGCTGCTGTTACAGAATCTAGGCAATTACAAGGACTTGCAACACTTCCGCTGACGTCAACGTCAACCTTGCTGGCGTCAGCCTCTCCTTCAACCACGATTCCGCACTTGGAGTGCTCTAACTGATTCCTCTCCATCTTCTGCAGTCGCCTATATTAATCGTTGATTGAACAGCTGATTTGTCTTCGTCAGTGCTAAATCATGTGATTGCATACTCTCTTGGTATTCACTTCACTGCCAGTCTTAGGCAAACAGAACCAGCTTCAGATCCAGATTTGGCGACGACTCTTAGAGACGGCAGACCCTAAAATTCCAAGCCCGACGATAGTGCAAGCTTCCGCGACAAGGAGAGGAGACGCCAGATGAAACTCTCTCCCCCGGCTGCAAGTTACGAAATGGAGACGATAGAGAGCCTCTGAGCATAAGCATAGCTCGAGGCGCATCCTCCTCTACCAGCGAAAGCGGCTCTCACGAATCATTCAATCACGGCTCGGCGCGCTGGATTCACAACTCCCTTGAGAACCCAACCCCGAGCACACACGCACAGCTCATCTTTTCCTGTTCTCTCTCCAGCGAATCGTATTGGGCTCGTATTGCCTCCTGTGAATTTCTCGCTCGCCAGGCACAACCATTCTAATCATGCTTCAGTTAGGCCTCTTCTCGATCATATTTCAAACCTAGATTGGTTCAGACTTGACGAGCTCAAGACACGTGGCACGGAAAGTCGAGCCTGGATGAGAATTGTAGTGATAAGCTTCCAACTACACTCACCTGTCAGAAGCGTAACAGGGTGTTGGTGGTGGCATCCAATCGCAGCGGGCCCAGCTGTCCCTTCAGTTCAGATTCGGCCACCTTGGCGCTTGTTTCTGTGACGTGACTCGAATCTCGTTTCGGCGAAGCCACAAGCCAAGGGCAAAACGCCTGGGGTGGGTCAAGGAAACGCATGGTGCTTCGGCGCTGATCCATGACAAAAGCGCGCAGCGGTGACGCGCTAATCGATGTTCCAGACGCAGGTTTTCAGCTGTCAGCGAAGAGGAGCGAGTGCGACTCGTTATGCTGAGGTGGTTCTGTACGGACGGGTGACGACGGTGACCCGGCTGCTGACGTTAGCAGGGGGTTTGCCGCACATGCAGGGGGGCCACAGTTGCCCCCCCCACCATGTCATTAGCGCGCTCTGGGGTGTCACTACGAGGTAGATTAGGTGGCGTACAGGTTAGCAGAAAAGGGTAGCTTTGTGTTGGAGCAAAAATTCGACACAACAGTTTCCGATATTACCAAATCCACACTGCACCATGTATTCCACAGAAACAACTTAGGATGGTTATACCCCGCCCAGCCTACGGAACTGTTACCACATCCATGTCAGATTCCCTGCGCAGATGTTGCTGCCTACAAGGTTCCGCCTTAGCAGCCTCAGTTAGCAAATAAGTAGCAACCCTAACCCTAAGATTTTCCCTCAGAAACCATGTGACACTTGCAGCAGAGCACAACGAGAATCAAAGAGCCTGTGATCTCAACCTATCATTGTCTCCTCCACTACGCCTGCCCTAGGGTTTCAGTACTTTGGCTGCGCGGGCTGCTGCTGTTGGCACACACAAAAACCGATTCCCCGGCTTTAAAGCATAGCCCTTGTCGCACACGCACGAAAACCGCCACCGAACCTTCCCACCCACTAGCGTAGGTCGACACGTCCCATACCCCCCACACGGTCCCGATTTCCCATTCGCACCGCAGAAAGCCGCGCACGAAGCTGGCCTGCGTTGCGATGTAACCTTGCAACCAGGCACTTGCGAAAGGCAGTTAAGAGCTACGGTGAGGGAACTCAGTTTGCCGTCTGGACGCGTCCGCCCTTCCACGGGGCAGACTTGTTTTCCCCCCACCCGTATCTCCGGTCTGCCCGAGAAGAAATTGCCACGTGCGTCGAGCCATATTGGCGAACCAAAATTGGGCAAACTGCCCGCAAAGAAGTTTTCTGAGATGTTCAATGCGAGCATGAAGAGCCCATTGAACGAATTCTCCGGGATTCTGCCAGAAAGCATGTTGTTCCGGACGTCCAACCAGAGTAGCGCCGGCGCGCCTCGAACAGCAGTCCACGGAAAGCTCCCTGAAAGCTTGTTAAAAGACAGGTCGAGTCCCATAAGCTTCGGCTGATTGGCTAGCAGAAACGCGGGAACAGATCCTGTCAGCCTGTTTCCCGCCAGATTCAGGAATTATATGTTTTCCATACGCCCGAGGGTTGCGAGGATTCGCCGAGCAACCTTGTTATTGCTCAGGTCGATGTCTCTCAGCCTAGGGTGGTTCGCGAGAGGTGCTAGCGAAGTAACGATGAACCCGTTACGCCTGAGCGAAAGGCCGTTCAGCTTCGGGAGTCGCATAAGTGTGCTCAGGGGAAGCGGACCCCCCAAACAGTTAGCCCCAGCCGCCAGTATCACTAATGGGTGCTTCGGCGCTGATCTATGACAAAAGCGCGCAGCCGTGACGCGCTAATCGATGTTCCAGACGCAGGTTAACAGCTGCCAGCGAAGTAGGAGCGAGTGCGACTCGTTAAGCTGAGGTGGTTCTGTACGGACAGGTGACGACGGTGACCCAGCTGCTGACGTTAGCAGGGGGTTAGCTGCACATGCAGGTGGCCCACAGCTGTCCCCCATGTCATTGGCGCGCTCTGGGTTGTCAGTGCGAGGCACATAAGGTGGCACACAGGTAGGCAGAAAGAGGTGGCAATCGCATATGAACCGAAAATTCGACACAGCTGTTTCCGATATGAGCAAAGGCACACTGCACTAAGTATTTCACATAAATAGCAGTATGATGGTTATACTTCGCAGCCTACGGAACTGGTCCCACAACCATGTGGTATTTCCTTCCCGTACTAGGTTCCACCTTCGCTATCTCGGCTAGCAAACAAGCTCCAACATGTGTAAAACCGAACCCCATAAAAAGATATTTCTCCCCGTAGCCATTGGATCCAGCCATGTCTCCTCCAGCAATGTCTCCTTCAGCAAAGCAGAACGAGGTGTCAAAAGCCTGTGAAAATCGACAACCTTTCATTGTCACCTCCTCCCCTGCGCTTGTCCGTGAGCGCCACTGCTGCTGTTGGCACACACAAGAACCGATTCCCCGGCTTCAAACCGTAACCCTTGTCGCACACGCACGAAAACCGCCACCGAACCTTCCCAACCACTATTGTAGGCCGACACGTGCCATGCCCCCCACACGCTCCGAGTTTGCCATTCGCACCGCAGAAAGCCGCGCATGAAGCAGGCCTGCGTTGCGATGGTCTAACGTTGCAATAAGGCACCGGCGAAAGGCTGTTACGAGCTACGGTGAAATAGCTCAGTCCATCCGGGCCCTGGTGGGTTGGTTTGTCAGAACATATCTATAGCTTATACTATTGTGTAGGCTGTAGTGGGGTATCCCATAGGGGGTACAACCCAGTTAGGGTTTCATATTTGTACTGCCTTCTTTCATAGTTCACACATCTCTGTTCACTTGTTTCACATGGTTCTCATCAGGGCCCCCTCCTGGTGGAAACGGGTTTCCACCAGGGCCACACGCGGATGCCTGGTGTGTTGCGACCCCCAGCTAGGAATCGCACGCAAAAGGGAGTCCCCCGCCCCCTCCCAGGTTCCCTAGCGAGATCCGGGCAGCGGAGCAAGTTGGCGGGGTGGTCCCGCGCCAAGCCCGGGCCACGCCAGCGCCTCGCTGCGTGGTCCCAACCCCGGGCCCCCCCGAGCCCAGCCCTGGCTCGCGAAACCCCTCACGAAACCCCTCACGAAACCCATCGCTCTCCAATCCGAGGGCGAGGGCCGAACCCCAGCGCGCCGAAACGGATCCGGCCAATCGGAGCCGTTTCTGAGTGGTCTGTCCCTCGGAGAACCCTCGCGAAGCATTTCGCATGCAAATCCGCGTGTGCGAATGGCAATTCGGGCTGGCCGAAATAGATTCGGCCAATGGGAGCCGGTTTCGGAGCGACGAGCGAATCGGCGCGCGTACGAAGCCATCTCCGTGCTGCCCGAAATGGAGCCGGCCAATCGCCGTCATTTACGAGCGTCGGAATGCTCGCAAGACCCTCGCGAACAATCGTTCGCGGAAAGCATGTTGAGATTAATTTTTCGGAGTGGAGTGTACGCCATTCGAAAGATCAAACAAAATAATCTCTCTAATGCATCGGGGAAATATTCAATTGCGAGTTTACGTGTAATATAACAGAGTGTAGTGTTAATTCGGTGACCCGAATTGGTGTACCTGATCGTTACCTCGGACCTCGGCGGTCGCGACGAGGAAAATTCTCTCTCCGCGGGAGTTGGCAGCCTGCTCCGAACGGGGCTCGCGGATGGTGTGCAACGTGGCGGACGTTGGCTGCACAAGCGTGCATGTTGCGAAAGCGGCGCGGGGTGAGAGGCCCGCGCAGTTTGACCGCGAGTGCCATCTCTTGATTCCCTCTCGGCCCTCTCTTAGGTTCTCGGTACGAGCACCTGGTGCTCATTTTCGTTCTCCATCTTCACATCTTGTTTTCTTCTTGCTCGCCCGTTCCACGTAGAGGTCCTCATCGCCTAGTGCTAGCCGAGACTCTGCTTGGCCGCGTTCGCGCTTGGTAGCGTCTAGCTTAGCTCTGATTTTCTGCCGCGAGCACTGTTTCGCGTACCGTTCGTCCTAGATACACCGTACCTTTGGTCGCGCTCTTGCGGTCGTACCAGTAATGAACCGCGAAATGAAGGCGCTTATAGTTGGGTCGAAGGAGGCCGCCTCTTGTCCGGCCATCATCTGTGTTGCGGGAGCCACGGTGGACCTCCCCCCCGAACAGTGGAAGTTGCTCGCTGAGGATAAGCATCCGTTGACGGCCCGTCTGTTCGACTTTGTCACCGGGTGAGATCCATGCGTTCCATTCCCTGACTCCAATATGCACACGTTGTTTACGGTCGCGGTGTTTAGGCTGTTCGTGACTTGTCAGCAATATTTACTAGGGGGCAGTGCAGGCCGCGGCATACCTCCGCTGTGCTTTTAGGTCGCGTTGTTTATGGTTGAGCTTTTCCCCGCCGTGTTTTACACCGTCCCGCACAGCGTGATTGTCCGGAGGTATCAGGAGAAGGAGGTGCATGAGCACGTCCGAATCGTGACGAGCGGTGTGGTCGCGGACATAGTCGCGGGTCGCGATGAAGCGGTCCAAGCCTTTGCCAGTTTGATGGAGTGCAGCCTGGTGGTTTTCTGCATCTGGTCCGAGTGAGTGTTCATTGGGAGTGTTCACTTGTATAGGGAATGCACTCGTTTTCGTGGTTTAACGCAGTCGTCAATGGCACGTTCAGGGACTTGTTCGACAAGAAGCGCTCGAACGCGAGCATGCTCATTCTGCTTCACCCCGACCACCTGTCGCTTGACGGTGATGAGACTTGGAACACGCGGTTCGTTCGCGTTGCTATTCCTACTAGTGGTGCGGAACACGTCACCGCGGCGGAGGCGATTGTAGAGTGACTACCGCGTACTGGTTTATCATCAGTACCACATTAATTTCCGCTCCGAGGCTCATGTCGCTAACCGTGCGTTCGCGTGGATATGTATGTGCTTTTGGGCAGGTGGTTTCAGGGTCGCGTTGACGAGGACTTTGCGCGCGGCTCCATTCAGTGCACCCGCTCCCGCTAGCTTAAGGATCCCAAGTGTCTGTTGGATCTGGTACGTCTATGTTGTGTACGTGTTCTCGATGACCGCGAATAGTTGGAGTGGTGCTAACAAACCCCATGTAATGTTTTACAGGACGCGACACCACTGAAGAGCTCCTGCGGCAATCTCGCTTGTCTGTTCGCGTTCGACAAGATCCCTGCCCAGTTGGACGCGGTCGCTGCCAGTGGATCCGGGCCGCAATTCTCGAGGCCAACCGCGAAGACTCTGAATGCACTGCGGCATGAAGCGTACCAAACCGCCGAAGAGCTTGCGTTCAACTTGAGCGTGGATTTGACGCGACCCAAGCACGCTGGTGAGGTTGAAGGTGCTGAAACGGGGAAGGTGCAGAAAGTGGCAACGGGTGCGCAGGTTGCTGCCCATGGTGTTCTCGCTCTCACAGGTGCCGCTGGTGTTTCGAACCGCGGAGGTGCTCGGGGAGGGACGGTGGTCCATGCTGATGACGAAGGGGCCGAGGATACCGCGACTAAGGGTGCAACCCGCGATTAGGCTGACCGCGCTGTTGCTCCTGAGGGGGAGGAGTCGAGCGAGGAGGAGGCGGAGGCTCTCGTGGTGGCGGCCACGGCATCCAGCAGGCCCACTACATCCGGCAAGAGCATCAAGCACCTCGCGCAGCACTTGGCCCCCGGTGCTGGAAGTGCGGGCCCGAGTAGTGAGGTTGCGGGCAAGAGTCCCGTGACAGGTCCGCGTGATCACACGCCCCTGTCCTCGTTGCCATCGCATAAGCTTTCTGCCGAGATCCTGCAGCTCGAATGCAGGCTTGCAGCGCAGGCTGAAGAGACCGCACGGTTGAAGAAACACCAGGAGTCGGGCGTTGGTGGGGTCGCGGTCGTGGGCTCTGAGGAGCTTGCGTCCGCGCTTGCTAATGCGGTTCGGGTGTTGGAGAAGGAGGCGAGGGCGATCGCGCAGGAAAGAGCGGCCCTGGTCGATACGTGTAACCAGGAGGCGTTGGTGCTGGGGCGAGTGGACGCGAGGCTAGGACAGCTGCAGGGGGTGGTGGCAGACTCCAAGGAAACCGCTCAGAAGAAGCTGACGGACGAGGTTGCGCGGAAGATCGACAACATGTCGATCGCGGTCTCCGCGACAGCAGAGCGGGCAATCACCACCAGCGGGGTCATGAACGCGCTGCACACCCTCATCACGCTCGTTGGAGGAGGCCCCCCGCCGCGCACGGATAATGAAGGAACGGCCGCGACGGAGATTGCCGAGCCCGGGGATGCAGAGCATGGAAAGTGGGCAACGGGTGCGAAGGCGGAGAATCAACGGGGGGCGAAGAGGCAGAGAGGTCCCCAGGCAGCGGCCGCGGTGCGCAATCCGAGCGTGCAGGACATGCTGAAGCAGAAGTGGGGCGCTGCATCGCGAGGTGCAACACCGCCTGGTCAACCGGGTTCGAGCTCGCGCTCCATCCCACCTGGAGAAGCTGCACCCAAACCACCGGGCCCTGCCGGGGCAACCGCGACAGTGACAACTACTGTGGGTCGGGGCAAGGGTAAGGCGGAGGATGGAGAGGCGCCGGCTGCTGCGCATTCGCTGGCCTCGAGGCGTGAGGTCCAGTCCGCAGCGGCTGCTGCGGCAGAGGGCAGGCAGACCACGCTCGCACCTGCTCGTGCTGCAATCACCGCGGGAAATCTGCAGAGCGCACTGGCATCTGCAGGTCCTATCGCGGCCTCGGTCGAGGTCAAGGCGGGGAAACGCGGACGGGTGGCAAGAAGTTGCCCCCTCCGCCCGTGTACACGATCGACGAGGACGATGCGGATGAGGAGCTGGAGGGTCTCGTGAGTAGGTGGGTCGAGGCGGGCGACGGAGGAGAGCAGGGTGGGGAGGCTGCGGTCGATGTTTATAGCGGCGGGGAGAGCGCAGACTAGCAAGACGAAGACCCCGTGATCATGGAAGGTGGCACAACGGGAGGACATGGTGACACCGGCCCCAAGCGCAGGGGCTGCGGCATCCGCGCTCCACCCAGGGGCGGGCTCGGATTGGTTTCTGAACCCCATATGGGGGGGAAGAAGCGATGGCTCAGACACGGCGACCGCCAAGACCTGCAGTACAAGACCGCGATCGCGATGTATCCCTACGACGGGAAGGTCGACCTCGGGCTGAACCTGAGCCAGCAGCAGATCCGAGAATGGGCCGCGGACCTGTCCATCGCCGAGGGGTTACATACGGGCCTCTTAATCACCATGCACTACCGCAACCTCGTGGCAAGCAAGGACAGGTGAGCTGTGCCAATCCGCCATCATCTAGTGCGTTCATACGGTTTGGTATGTTATCATTATTTGGCCGCTCCAACCCACTGCGTGGCAGGTGGCAACGCATGTTCGATTCCTATCCCGGGCTAACCAAGCCCGGAATGCACACCACCAACGTAATTACATGGGCCGCGGTGGTAAGCAAGGAGGGTGCAGCAGAATAAGCGGATCTCGGCGATGTGGAGCCGACGGACTACGCGGGAGCGATCACATGCGCCATTGCAATGGTGTGGGAGGTCACTCGCAGTTCTAACGTCACTGCCGCAGCGGATAATGGAAATCTGGCCGCGCGTGTTGCTGGTTGCTATGGAGAGCAAAGCCGTCTCTTCCCCGTAGTATCCGCGTTCGTCATCAATGCGGTGCGGAAGCGCAATCGTCGAGAACATCAGCAGGCTGAGGAAGATGAGCCACAGGTTGTCGCGGACCCGAAGGCGGTCGCCGCCGCGATCATGTCTGGAGTCGTAAACGAGGTCGTTGCAAAGTCTCGCGATCTCAGGAGCATCGAGCTGGCCGCCCGCGAAACGGTGGACGTTATCATCACCTGGTGCGACTGCTCGGTGGCAGGGAAGCAGATGGAGTCTTTGGGTTTGTACCTTTCCCTGCCCAAGGATCGTCTGAGGAAGCGCACTTGAGTGCGTGTAGTATCGCGTAGCATGTGCACAGCTCGTCCGCCATGCTTGAGTTCTACTCGAGGAGGATTGTGCTGGGCTTGCGGATCTGTGTGCATGTAGTATATCGTGTGTGTGTGTGTGTGTGTGTGTGTGTGTGTGTGTGTGTGTGTGTACGTGTGTGTGTGTCTGTATGTGCGCGCGCGCGCGTGAGAACATAGTGTTGACATTTGGAACAATATGTGCTGGAGTTATACTCGTGGTGGATTGTTCTTAATTCTCGTACTTTGTGTGTGAACGTTTGTAGGATTCAGTGGGTGCGTCTGTTTGCGCGTGTGCCATTTTAGTAGTAATCTGCATTCGACTCAGGTATTCCCACACATTATCATTGTACACACTACGACGCGAACAATCTATGTACATTAGGCAACAGCAGCCCGCGATCACCACGGCTGCGATATAAATAAGCACTATTTTCGCGTAAAACAACAACACTCGCGGTCGATTATAGGGACCCATAACATCGCACCCGAAGATGGTGATATCAAGACGAACAACAGCGTGGTCAATCCATTTAATGCAAGTCTGGCATCAGCGCACAGTACTGTTAGAATATGTTGTTTGTGTAGCCTGCAGTGGGGCACTCAATAGTGAGTACAGCCCCTTCGGGATTGCTATTTGTATCCTGCTGCTTGCTAGTTCAATCATTCCCTTCTCAATTCTTTTCCTGCACACAACCTAGCTCGTACTTGGCGCCTCATTGCTCTAGTCCTACTATGGCCTAGGCTACTAAGCCTAGGCGGTGCTCCTACTATATCTGACATGGTATCAGAGGGCGGCATGTCTGCTGCCTTCTTGTGTATGGGCCCACCACCTGCTTCCACTGCCCTACCGTCCGCCGCGCGCCCCGTGGTGCGCGGCGGCGAAACCCTAATTTCTGCCCGCCGCGCGCTCGTGGCGCCTAGCGGGTTTCCCTTCCGTGGCGCCCGTCGTGGTGCCCTTGGGGGGGCCTCCGCGGTCCCCTCACGTCGAAGCGCCCGTCGAGGCGCTCTCGGGGACCCACGCAGCCTTCCCTCCCGTCACCCGTCGAGGCGACCTCGGGGACCCGCGCGGCCTCCCCTCTCGTCGCCCGTCCTGGCGACCACGGGGGCCGTGCGCGGCGCCCTCCCCGTCGCCCGTCGTGGCGACTTTGGGGGCCGTGCGCGGCTCTCCCCGTCACCCGTCGTGGCGACTTCGGGGGGCCCGCACGGCGCCCTCCCAGTCGCCAGTTGAGGCGACTTCGGGGGGCCGGCGCGGCGCCCTCCCCGTCGCCCGTCGAGGCGGCTCTGGAGGCCCGTCGCGGCGCCCTCTCTGGTGCCCGTCGTGGCACCCCTCCCTTCTCCTCCCTCCTCCTCACCTTCACCTGCAGCGGCCGCCCCTGGAGCCGCCCATCTATACAGCAGCAGCTCCTGGAGCTGCCCACAGCTTGCAGCAGCCGTCTGAGGACCCCTGCAGCAGCCCGCGGCCCGCCCGTGCAGCTGTTCGTGATGTCGTCCCTGCACCCCATCCCCCCCCCCCCCGTGCTGCCCATTCTCCCAACCTGCCATGTGTTCCGCGGTGGTTGGGGGGTGGGGTGGCGAGCATGGGGGTGAGCGGTGTGGGTTCTCCCCTCCTCCTTTTTCATCTCCCACTGCTGGAGCTGCTGCTAAGGGGGGTGGAGGTGTGGGAGCTGTGGGGAGTGGAGCTATGGGGGTGATGTGGGAGTGGAGCTAGGGGTGAAACTGGGGGTGTGTGTAAGGGGGTGTGGGACTGTTTGGGGAGGCTGAAAGGAGGCTGCCGTCTAGTCATCTGCAGCACCTGTAGTCCGGGGCGCTATCCTGGTAGCCCAGAGAGCCTGCTGCGCCTGTCGCCCGTGGGTCCGTTGCTCTTGTAGCTCGTCGTAGCCTGTGAGCCAGTTACTCCAGTAGTCCGGGGCGCTGTCCCGGTAGCCACTGTGCCAGCCGCTCCTGTTGCCCGTGTGTCTGCAGCTTCAGCCGTCGTCTCCCATCTTCTCTCCTCTCACAGTCCCTCCTCCTCCTCACTTGCCCGCTGTGACTACCACTAGCTTTGCTCATAATTGTGAACTTTAAACTGTTGCTTCTTGTAATTGTGCTCAGAATGTGTGGTGACATTGTGATCCACCCTGAGCTTGTTCTGCTATGCTTACTGTGCTGATTACACCTCACTTTGGCTATGGGGGTGTGTCAGAATATGTTGTTTGTGTAGCCTGAAGTGGGGCACTCAATAGTGAGTACAGCCCCTTAGGGTTTGTTATTTGTATCTTGCTGCTTGCTAGTTCAATCATTCCCTTCTCAATTCTTTTCCTGCACACAACCTAGCTCGTACTTGGCGCCTCATTGCTGTAGTCCTACTGTGGCCTAGGCTACTAAGCCTAGGCCGTGCTCCTATTATATCTGACAAGTTTTGGGGCCACGCGTCCGTGAACTCAGACGCGGGAAGAGAGGCATTGATATGACGGTCGCGAATAAGCATCCATTTCACACGCAACTGCACCTCCACCGGAGAACCCTTCTTGAGCTGGCTCAGTTCCAGGTCAACACTCTTCTTCTTTACCGCGATCCCTTCTAATACACCCGACATGCCCACAGCTCCTGACACCAGGTCGAGCTTGTCAAGCACTACCGCGATGTCGTCTCCTTGCTCCACCCTGTGGGCGATGAAGTTCATGAGTCGCTTGACACGGTTTATCGCGTTATGGCCGCCTCCCTCCTCCCCAATGAGCGTGGCCATTCGCGTAACTGCGCCGCGGGGCTGGCCCAGAAGCGACTTTGGACTCTCGCGGATCAGCAGGTGCGTTGTCTTGTACAGCTTCCATCCGTCTGACGGTTTGGTGGTGTTGACCCATGGAAGGACGATCGTGTCCCGAATCGTCTGTTCCCTGGTGGGCGGTGCGGGTATATTCCGCGTCCCCTGCTCGGTGGGAGTTGTGGCATTGGTCGGCGCGGCCGCGACTCCAGGAGTGGTTGCCTGGTTCGGAACTGCGATCGGCCCTGAGCTGCTCATGGTGAGCCGCGATAGCTGGGCCTCCAAATTATTCACGTGCTCGTCCTTCGCGGCCAACTTCCGATCGCGATCATCCAGCAGCCCCTCCAGCTCTTTCACCCGGTTATGAGTCGCGATCAACTCTAGGCCCAGTCTGGTGTTGTCCGCTGGTGAACAAGTCAAATACTTAGTGAGGACGGTCACTTGGTTCTGCGCGTCCATTCTAGTACTCACCTCCTGCATGGACAGAAAGCGACCGCGAACTTGTTATGGTTTGGCATTGACATCACAGCCGAAAGATAACGCGACCATGCAGTACTTACTGCGGGCTGGGTCAGTGTAGGTGAGTTGCGCTGTACTATGGCGAGTTGATTTGCCAATGAGACATCTGCAGCCCACGACGCAAATTCCTCCGTCTGGCAGAGCGGGTTGTTGACCACGTGCGGGTGTCGCGGCTAGTGGATGTAATACATCGCCAGGTCTTGCGCGACCGCCATCCTAGCGTCCCCATCCAGCTCCTTCAGTATGTTTAGCCCTGCGGTGTCCTGCTTCTCCGGCTTCTGCTTTTTCACCATCCTGCGGTTGTAATCTTTGCAATGTAACAATAAAACAACGAGGTAGTGAACGCGGTGCCAGAGTGCTATGTGGGATGCTCGCGGTCGCGTATGCGCGGTCCATACATACCTGTTGCTGTCCTTTGTCCGCGGCGGCCCATGGGAAAATGTGCTTCCTCAGTAGCTCATCCAGCTTATTGCTGACCAGAACAGTTGCGCGACCTAGGTGGTAGTCACCGTCAACCCTGGTCCGCCTTCAGCAGCACGTCTTCCCTCGGAATGGTTGTGAGGTAATGCTTAGTCATCACGTCGATGAAGCACCAACCCCCCAGCCTCGCCAGCTGATCCGAAGGCATTCTGTCCGCGAACGCGTGCTGCGCCCCCCCGGCCCTAGTGGCGTGTACCGCACGCGAGCATGTGATTCCCGCGTCCT